GGAGGAAAAATATATACCTCTATCTACTAACAGTTTAAACCCAAACAAACACCTCTAACCACTTCTTCTAACGAGTTCGCAACAGCAACAACCCCAGCTCTCGATAGATGCACCCCATCACGAGCATACATTTCATTTCTTCCATAGAAGTGTTCCCAGTTGTCTATGAAAGATATTGCATTTGATTTGCAATATCTTTCCAGCCGGCAATTGACACCAAGTGCCCTCGATATCCATTCATTTCCCACTCCCTTTCTTGGAAGAATGCCACATATGATCGGGATTCCTCCCTTGCTCCTAACTAACTCTATGGCTGTTTTATACCTCTGAATCAGTTCCTCACTCCTGACTCGACCAACATAATTCGTTAATTTTATTTCTTAGACTTCTACTGTTAGTGTAATATACCCTAAGTGAATTGTTATTTTGCGGACCTTCTCTTTCCCTGATCGTTTTGCCAATTCCTTTCTCCCACAAACACATACTTTTATTACCTCCTTCCTCCAAATCAATTCCCATACCTCTATCTACTAACAGTTTAAACCCAAACAAACACCTCTAACCACTTCTTCTAACGAGTTCGCAACAGCAACAACCCCAGCTCTCGATAGATGCACCCCATCACGAGCATACATTTCATTTCTTCCATAGAAGTGTTCCCAGTTGTCTATGAAAGATATTGCATTTGATTTGCAATATCTTTCCAGCCGGCAATTGACACCAAGTGCCCTCGATATCCATTCATTTCCCACTCCCTTTCTTGGAAGAATGCCACATATGATCGGGATTCCTCCCTTGCTCCTAACTAACTCTATGGCTGTTTTATACCTCTGAATCAGTTCCTCACTCCTGACTCGACCAACATCATTTCCTCCCACGCTAATGCAAATAATGGGATTGTTCCCATTACCAGCCATAATATCATTCATGTTGTTTATAATATCACCAATGCCAGCTCCGGGATAGCAAACCCTTAACTTGTTCCCCCTATCTCTAGCACAAAACGTTCTATCCAAATACCTTATCTGGGAATCTCCCACAACTAATGTTTGCTTAGGTACTTCCTTTACTTTCTGAGGGGCCTGCGCTTCCTTTCTCTTCGTTGCTTTCCCTTTTGCGCGATCCACAGTCTCTCCACAGCACTCGTCCTCCAAAACGTCAAATGAATTTGAAGTTGCTATGGCGTTTGAAGGCGGCTTTATCAAAGTCTTCTTAAGGCCCCTGTCTTTCGCAACTCTCCAAGACGAGGTCCCTTTACTGCTGGTCTCCTCCATCGTTACTTCTCGTTGTTACTTCTCGTACATACCAGTTGCGTTGCTCCTGGGAGTATGGGTTCGAGTCACTTCTGGGGTGTGAGTTTTCAGTTGCATATTGTCCTGGGGACCATTCAGGCTTGTTCGCATACACACACATATATATATATATATATATATATATATATATATATATATATATATATATATATATATATATATATATATATGACAATGTCAGACCACGGAGGAAAAATATATACCTCTATCTACTAACAGTTTAAACCCAAACAAACACCTCTAACCACTTCTTCTAACGAGTTCGCAACAGCAACAACCCCAGCTCTCGATAGATGCACCCCATCACGAGCATACATTTCATTTCTTCCATAGAAGTGTTCCCAGTTGTCTATGAAAGATATTGCATTTGATTTGCAATATCTTTCCAGCCGGCAATTGACACCAAGTGCCCTCGATATCCATTCATTTCCCACTCCCTTTCTTGGAAGAATGCCACATATGATCGGGATTCCTCCCTTGCTCCTAACTAACTCTATGGCTGTTTTATACCTCTGAATCAGTTCCTCACTCCTGACTCGACCAACATCATTTCCTCCCACGCTAATGCAAATAATGGGATTGTTCCCATTACCAGCCATAATATCATTCATGTTGTTTATAATATCACCAATGCCAGCTCCGGGATAGCAAACCCTTAACTTGTTCCCCCTATCTCTAGCACAAAACGTTCTATCCAATACCTTATCTGGGAATCTCCCACAACTAATGTTTGCTTAGGTACTTCCTTTACTTTCTGAGGGGCCTGCGCTTCCTTTCTCTTCGTTGCTTTCCCTTTTGCGCGATCCACAGTCTCTCCACAGCACTCGTCCTCCAAAACGTCAAATGAATTTGAAGTTGCTATGGCGTTTGAAGGCGGCTTTATCAAAGTCTTCTTAAGGCCCCTGTCTTTCGCAACTCTCCAAGACGAGGTCCCTTTACTGCTGGTCTCCTCCATCGTTACTTCTCGTTGTTACTTCTCGTACATACCAGTTGCGTTGCTCCTGGGAGTATGGGTTCGAGTCACTTCTGGGGTGTGAGTTTTCAGTTGCATATTGTCCTGGGGACCATTCAGGCTTGTTCGCATACACACACACATATATATATATATATATATATATATATATATATATATATATATATATATATATATATATATATATATATATATATATATATATATATATATATATATATATATATATATATATATGACAATGTCAGACCACGGAGGAAAAATATATACCTCTATCTACTAACAGTTTAAACCCAAACAAACACCTCTAACCACTTCTTCTAACGAGTTCGCAACAGCAACAACCCCAGCTCTCGATAGATGCACCCCATCACGAGCATACATTTCATTTCTTCCATAGAAGTGTTCCCAGTTGTCTATGAAAGATATTGCATTTGATTTGCAATATCTTTCCAGCCGGCAATTGACACCAAGTGCCCTCGATATCCATTCATTTCCCACTCCCTTTCTTGGAAGAATGCCACATATGATCGGGATTCCTCCCTTGCTCCTAACTAACTCTATGGCTGTTTTATACCTCTGAATCAGTTCCTCACTCCTGACTCGACCAACATCATTTCCTCCCACGCTAATGCAAATAATGGGATTGTTCCCATTACCAGCCATAATATCATTCATGTTGTTTATAATATCACCAATGCCAGCTCCGGGATAGCAAACCCTTAACTTGTTCCCCCTATCTCTAGCACAAAACGTTCTATCCAAATACCTTATCTGGGAATCTCCCACAACTAATGTTTGCTTAGGTACTTCCTTTACTTTCTGAGGGGCCTGCGCTTCCTTTCTCTTCGTTGCTTTCCCTTTTGCGCGATCCACAGTCTCTCCACAGCACTCGTCCTCCAAAACGTCAAATGAATTTGAAGTTGCTATGGCGTTTGAAGGCGGCTTTATCAAAGTCTTCTTAAGGCCCCTGTCTTTCGCAACTCTCCAAGACGAGGTCCCTTTACTGCTGGTCTCCTCCATCGTTACTTCTCGTTGTTACTTCTCGTACATACCAGTTGCGTTGCTCCTGGGAGTATGGGTTCGAGTCACTTCTGGGGTGTGAGTTTTCAGTTGCATATTGTCCTGGGGACCATTCAGGCTTGTTCGCATACACACACATATATATATATATATATATATATATATATATATATATATATATATATATATATATATATATATATATATATGACAATGTCAGACCACGGAGGAAAAATGAAACAGGAAATTTCCTTAAGTACTTTCGTATATTAAATACATCTTTAGAAGGTCATTTTACAGATCGAGTGATGGGTATAAATAGGCAGGAAGGAGTGGTGAAGTAAGGTGAGGTACAATACTTGGACAACGCAGACGGCCCATTGGCCCATCAGATGCACCCAATTGGCACATCCGATGTAGCCCAATGGCCCATCTGATACAGCAGACATACAAGCATAATATATAGGTAATTATAACATAAAGAAGTAAATATATACAATAAATTAGTGAGACAAATGTTTTTCAATGATTCTACTTAAATCGCCCTTTAGCTGATCTATTAGAAATGGATCTAAGTATTATGCTTATCTTATCTTATGGATCTTATGCTTGTATGTCTGCTGTATCAGATGGGCCATTGGGCTACATCGGATGTGCCAATTGGGTGCATCTGATGGGCCAATGGGCTGTCTGCGTTGTCCAAGTATTGTACCTCACCTTACTTCACCACTCCTTCCTGCCTATTTATACCCATCACTCGATCTGTAAAATGACCTTCTGAAGATGTATTTAATATACGAAAGTACTTAAGGAAATTTCCTGTTTCATTTTTCCTCCGTGGTCTGACATTGTCACATTCTTAATCACGTGTTTATTTTCGTGATATACACACATATATATATATATACACACATATATATATATATATATATATATATATATATATATATATATATATATATATATATATATATATATACACATATATATATATATATATATATATATATATATATATATATATATATATATATATATATATATATATATATATATATATATATATATATATATATATATATACTGTACTTAGTTTATAAATCAAATAGATAAGATTTGGTGGTCTTATCACCACCAAATCAACTAAGCCCAGATTTGTGTGAGACCAATAGTCAATTTATCCATCATGGTTATGTTTGGTGAAGAGTATCACTCAATCTCAACAATCCTGTAATGTAATTCTGTGTTCCCATAGTAAGGTAAAATAATCCAGAGTTGTTCAATAAAACCCATGTGTTAAGATGTAACCCACAGTGTACTTATTGTCCAACTTAGACTAAGAATACTTGATCCTTCCCCCATTATCACATACGATACATACATTTCCTTCCATTATTCATAATAAAGTAAGGACGGGTTTTGTTAGTCTGTACTCTCGGGTACGGCTTACAAACAGCCCTGCTGCTGCAATATGTTACCAAAATATATTATCCCATACTCCGGGATATGTTTATAAAAAATATTGGCCTTGCTGTGAATGTGTTAATCTGTCAGTAATATTAACCCTGCTTTGAAATAGCTAATGCAATGAATGTATAAAAATATTATGTAATTTGTATTAGTAAATAAAGTACTGTAATATTAGTTTTAGTTGTAAATACATCTAGCAAACTAAATATTCTTTTCCACAGGATAACAAGCCAGAGGAATGTTCAGTGTGTTTTAACGATTATGGTGACAATCAGCTACGGCCTCGCACACTGCCGTGCGGCCACACATTCTGCTCCCAGTGTATTGACAATGCTATCAAGAATGGTCAGCTGACCTGCCCCAGCTGCCGTGCCGAACACGCTGCCACAGCCTCTACTCAGTTCCCAATTAACTATGCTGTGGAGGCTTTTGTTAGGAAACTAAAAAATACCCAGCTAACAACTGAGGAAGTAGTGCCAGCAAAACCTTATGAAGGTCCCGCCAGAGGCATCAGTAAGACATTACGTTCCCTGGTGCAGGAGCAGAAGAGCATCATCAGCAGCCTCATTACTAGCTGTGAAGAGGTACTGTCCCAGCTGGGGGAGTACCAGGGGCAGCTGGGGGACTGGAAGACTCACCACCTCCAGCTCCAGGACAGACTCTATGCTCTGGTAGAGCAGAACAAGTCAGCAATGAAGCTCTTGGAACTGGAGGATACCAGTGTGGTGGATATGACAACACAAGGAGAGGAAGGGAAGACTCAGCTACAGGCCATGTTGGGAAGCCTCGACACAGTCAACACTCCACAGGAGGTTGGCACAACCATAAACACAGCTGATGGGTGCAAGATGAAGGTAGAAGATTGGCTCCGGAAGTGCCAGACACTCTTCCCAGATGTCAACACTGTTCACACCTCGGTGAAGGTACGCTGCTGAAGGTCACATTGTTCTCACCCAACTGAGTGTAGTATTGCCTCTATATAAACACTTTTGACATGGAGACACATCAAGATGAGAATTGACTTTATATATGAGAAACATTTTTATTAATAAAGTCAACTGTCGTCTTGGTGTTTCTCTACACTGTGGTCAGCGTAGAGAAACACCATTACTTATATTGTGAAATTATTTTACCCAGAGCCTAATGCTTCATTATAGTCCAGTTACTTTACTCAGAGCCTGATGCTTCATTATAGCCCAGGTTCCAAATTAATGTTTGTGTTGGTAATGACAGGTGCAGGAGACCATCAGGGAGGCCCTGGAGATGATGACCACAGAGACAGGTGCCACAGCTGACCCCGTACACCTGGGAGACTCAGCCTCCACCATTAATGTTTGTGTTGGTAATGACAGGTGCAGGAGACCATCAGGGAGGCCCTGGAGATGACGACCACAGAGACAGGTGCCACAGCTGACCCCGTACACCTGGGAGACTCAGCCTCCAGCATCATGAATAAAGTTCAGGAAATCACTGGAGAGATCCCCCAGAAGCAATTAACAGTAAGTTTTTTATTTTCTCTCGTGGTTCATATCACAAGATATTGAGTTGCGTTTTGAGGAGAGGAAGCCTGTTCTTAGGTTTATGGAGGTTCCCCAAGGTCAACAACTGACTTTCTTTAACATACAATACACAATAGTTGCCTAACTCCTGGTAAACATTTACTGGTAGGTGAACAACAGAAACAGGTGAAAAGAAACATGTGAATCATTTCCGTCCTGCATAAAGATTGAACCTGTGATCCTCTATTGAACCCGGGATCCTTGCCCCCTCACAGAGGCGCAGAGACCGGGTGACACTCCACCAACCTACCGGGAAAGCATTCAGGAAGACAGTGAACCAAAACAGACCACTGATGGGTTCGAAGAGACTGAAGCCTTGAAACTGCTAATAAACTCCCAAACAATGCCAGCACCAACCCCCCTGCCAGTAGAGGGGGGCTGGAGCTACAGGTCCAGCACCAACCCCCTGCCAGTAGAGGGGGGCCGGAGCTACAGGTCCAGCACCAACCCCCTGCCAGTAGAGGGGGGCGGGAGCTACAGGTTCGGCACCAACCCCCTGCCAGTAGAGGGGGCCTGGAGCTACAGGTCCAGCACCATCCCCCTGCCAGTAGAGGAGGCCTGGAGCTACAGGTCCAGCACCATCCCCCTGCCAGTAGAGGGGGGCCGGAGCTACAGGTCCAGCACCATCCCCCTGCCAGTTGAGGGGGCCTGGAGCTACAGGTCCAGCACCATCCCCCTACCAGTAGAGGGGGGCCGGAGCTGCAGGTCCAGCACCATCCCCCTGCCAGTAGAGGGGGCCTGGAGCTACAGGTCCAGCACCATCCCCCTACCAGTAGAGGGGGGCCGGAGCTACAGGTCCAGCACCATCCCCCTGCCAGTAGAGGGGGGCTGGAGCTACAGGTCCAGCACCATCCCCCTGCCAGTAGAGGGGGCCTGGAGCTACAGGTCCAGCACCAACCCCCCTGCCAGAAGAAGGGGGCTGGAGCTACAGGTCCAGCACCAACCCCCCTGCCAGAAGAAGGGGGCTGGAGCTACAGGTCCAGCACCAACCCCCTGCCAGTAGAGGGGGCCTGGAGCTACAGGTCCAGCACCAACCCCCTGCCAGTAGAGGGGGGCTGGAGCTACAGGTCCAGCACCAACCCCCTGCCAGAAGAAGGGGGCTGGAGCTACAGGTCCAGCACCATCCCCCTGCCAGTAGAGGGGGGCTGGAGCTACAGGTCCAGCACCAACCCCCTGCCAGTAGAGGGGGGCTGGAGCTACAGGTCCAGCACCAACCCCCCTGCCAGAAGAAGGGGGCTGGAGCTACAGGTCCAGCACCAACCCCCCTGCCAGTAGAGGGGGGGCTGGAGCTACAGGTCCAGCACCAACCCCCTGCCAGTAGAGGGGGGCTGGAGCTACAGGTCCAGCACCAACCCCCTGCCAGTAGAGGGGGGCTGGAGCTACAGGTCCAGCACCAACCCCCTGCCAGTATATAGAGGCTGGAGCTACAGGTTGTCATGCGCCGCTCACCTTGGCCTTGTGTTACATGAGGTTACAGTTAAACAGCGGGGGATCGTGCTACTGATCCTATAACCTCACGCCGTGGGACTTCACTCCCTCCACTAGGGTATCACATTTCACCCCAGGGAGCTCTCCTAGTTGTGCCTCAAGACCGGTCACCACTTGACCTTGGACCCAAGGGGGAGAGGAGAAGGCCCAGCCCACACTACTAAACTCAATTCTGCAGTATGTGACTCCACCACCGGGCCTGCCCACCTGTGCGTGCAGAGAATTTGCCGGACTTCCGGCCGTAGCCTCACTTTTACCTCTTCCTGGTCGCCAGCTGGGTAATTCTCTCTGCGTCCCAGCAACGCTGTTAGTTCAAATATAATATATTTACAGCAGCCTAGGACCTTACTGTGTGCTGCCAATACTAGAATTCAAATGTACAGTCTTGTTGCCATCTCAGGGTCACTCATTAGGGAATGCCAGTACCAGTGTTCAAATCTCATGTCGTGTTGCCAACACAGGGTCTCTCTCTGTCATCCCTGTAACAGTACAGTATAATCATGTTATTAACCACAAAGCTCAATGAGATGGAGGTTATACCAAAAGCAGTGATAAAATAGTAAAAGTTTACTCAAAGTATACTACAACACACAAGATACATGTATGAATTTATGGAAATAATAATAATAATAATGATGACAGCAAGGCTCCTCTGGTGGCCGCCAGCAGCTCGCATCAGCTGATGAATTAAAGGGATCACTGGCCCCTCCTCACTGGGGCGGCTCCGTCAGCGTCGCTCCTCACTCCTCCACGGGCCGGTCACACGCTGTCTTCACCACTCAGTAGAATAATATATACGTGCTGTTCCACATCCTAATCTACTCCTATGACTTATATGCACTCTAATAAATGCCTAAGCATAATAATAGGCCTATCTTGCCTAATAATCAAGGGAATTATGGGAGGGAAATATGATCTACCTTAACATATCCCGTCCTCAGACGCCTAGGCTCCAGTCACCCGTTGGGTACTCCGTTCCTCGCGTTGTTCCCAGTGTTCCAGAAGCATCACCAGTCCATAGGTGTGAAGATCCTCGGCATCTCCGTGCTCATTCCCCGAGTGATGTTCCTGGGCGTTGGCTCATCCATTCGTCACTGCATGCGTTGTTCCCTCAAGCATTCCTTCACCGAGACCACACTCAAGGATCAGGATGCACTTTCTCCCTTCTGAGTTCCTAGTAGGCGTGATCTGATCACAACAGCTCTGAATGCTTTGGAGTTCCACCGACAGCGAGTCACTCACTCCTCCAGCCGTCGTAACTCTCTCAACTTCTCCAAAACTATTAGCACACGGTCTTCGGCGCCCTTTCACCGCTGGATTAGACTTCCTCGCACTTTCCTGAAGTACTGCAGTCCTTGTTAGTCACTATATACTCGTCAGGCTGCGTATATCCACTTATGGAGGCTCCTAGACCTCAGAACTAGAGAGCTCAATCAGCGCACGTCCGCTCCCAACAAAGCGCCAAGTATCTCTGAGCGCCTGGTGCTCTGCAGGCGGCGGGCCAGATCTCTCGGTGACGTCACAGACCCAGGGGCGGGCTCTGATTGGTCAATGAAGTCATGTGACCTCAGCCTCCGAATCAGAGGGCGTCGTACACAAAATGGTGGATTTGCAGGCCAGGAGGCGCCATTTTGTTGTACCCAGGGCGCGACTTATCGATTTCTCTCCAAATTTACAAATGCAAATTTTTCCCCAAATTAGCAACCATTCTGGAAGCCTCATACCTCAAAAGATTCCCTGCGCCTCAGAGAACCTGCAGATAAGCTGATATAACTCTTACAGCTGGCATATGGGAGAAACTGTAGGGGACACCATCACAACGTCCAGGACTAATCCCCTGCCAGTAGAGGGGGGACTAGGGCTACAGGTCCAGCACCAACCCACTGCCAGTAGAGGGGGGACTAGGGCTACAGGTCCAGCACCAACCCACTGCCAGTAGAGGGTGGGCTGGAGCTACAGGTCCAGCACCAACCCACTGCCAGTAGAGGGTGGGCTGGAGCTACAGGTCCAGCACCAACCCCCTGCCAGTAGAAGTGGGGGGAGGGGGGGCTGGAGCTACAGGTCCAGCACCAACCCCCTGCCAGTAGAAGTGGGGGGGGGGCTGGAGCTACAGGTCCAGCACCAACCCCCTGCCAGTAGAGGGGTGGCTGGAGCTACAGGTCCAGCACCAACCCCCTGCCAGTAGAGGGGTGGCTGGAGCAACAGGTCCAGCACCAACCCCCTGCCAGTAGAGGGGTGGCTGGAGCTACAGGTCCAGCACCAACCCCCTGCCAGTAGAAGTGGGGGGGGGGGGGGGTCTGGAGCTACAGGTCCAGCACTAACCCACTGCCAGTAGAGGGTGGGCTGGAGCTACAGGTCCAGCACCAACCCCCTGCCAGTAGAGGGTGGGCTGGAGCTACAGGTCCAGCACCAACCCCCTGCCAGTAGAGGGGTGGCTGGAGCTACAGGTCCAGCACCAACCCCCTGCCAGTAGAGGGGTGGCTGGAGCTACAGGTCCAGCACCAACCCCCTGCCAGTAGAAGTGGGGGGGGGGGTCTGGAGCTACAGGTCCAGCACCAACCCACTGCCAGTAGAGGGTGGGCTGGAGCTACAGGTCCAGCACCAACCCCCTGCCAGTAGAGGGTGGGCTGGAGCTACAGGTCCAGCACCAACCCACTGCCAGTAGAGGGTGGGCTGGAGCTACAGGTCCAGCACCAACCCCCTGCCAGTAGAGGGGTGGCTGGAGCTACAGGTCCAGCACCAACCCCCTGCCAGTAGAGGGGTGGCTGGAGCTACAGGTCCAGCACCAACCCCCTGCCAGTAGAGGGGTGGCTGGAGCTACAGGTCCAGCACCAACCCCCTGCCAGTAGAGGGGTGGCTGGAGCAACAGGTCCAGCACCAACCCCCTGCCAGTAGAGGGGTGGCTGGAGCTACAGGTCCAGCACCAACCCCCTGCCAGTAGAAGTGGGGGGGGGGTCTGGAGCTACAGGTCCAGCACCAACCCACTGCCAGTAGAGGGTGAGCTGGAGCTACAGGTCCAGCACCAACCCCCTGCCAGTAGAAGTGGGGGGGTGGCTGGAGCTACAGGTCCAGCACCAACCCCCTGCCAGTAGAAGTGGGGGGGGGGTCTGGAGCTACAGGTCCAGCACCAACCCCCTGCCAGTAGAAGTGGGGGGGGGGCTGGAGCTACAGGTCCAGCACCAACCCCCTGCCAGTAGAGGGGTGGCTGGAGCTACAGGTCCAGCACCAACCCCCTGCCAGTAGAGGGGTGGCTGGAGCTACAGGTCCAGCACCAACCCACTGCCAGTAGAGGGGTGGCTGGAGCTACAGGTCCAGCACCAACCCCCTGCCAGTAGAAGTGGGGGGGGGTGTCTGGAGCTACAGGTCCAGCACCAACCCACTGCCAGTAGAGGGTGGGCTGGAGCTACAGGTCCAGCACCAACCCACTGCCAGTAGAGGGTGGGCTGGAGCTACAGGTCCAGCACCAACCCCCTGCCAGTAGAGGGTGGGCTGGAGCTACAGGTCCAGCACCAACCCACTGCCAGTAGAGGGTGGGCTGGAGCTACAGGTCCAGCACCAACCCCCTGCCAGTAGAGGGGTGGCTGGAGCTACAGGTCCAGCACCAACCCCCTGCCAGTAGAGGGGTGGCTGGAGCAACAGGTCCAGCACCAACCCCCTGCCAGTAGAGGGGTGGCTGGAGCTGCAGGTCCAGCACCAACCCCCTGCCAGTAGAAGTGGGGGGGGGGGGGGTCTGGAGCTACAGGTCCAGCACCAACCCACTGCCAGTAGAGGGTGAGCTGGAGCTACAGGTCCAGCACCAACCCCCTGCCAGTAGAAGTGGGGGGGGGGGCTGGATCTACAGGTCCAGCACCAACCCCCTGCCAGTAGAGGGGTGGCTGGAGCTACAGGTCCAGCACCAACCCCCTGCCAGTAGAGGGGTGGCTGGAGCTACAGGTCCAGCACCAACCCCCTGCCAGTAGAAGTGGGGGGGGGGGGGGGGTCTGGAGCTACAGGTCCAGCACCAACCCACTGCCAGTGGAGGGTGGGCTGGAGCTACAGGTCCAGCACCAACCCCCTGCCAGTAGAAGTGGGGGGGGGGGCTGGAGCTACAGGTCCAGCACCAACCCCCTGCCAGTAGAGGGGTGACTGGAGCTACAGGTCCAGAACCAACCCCCTGCCAGTAGAGGGGTGGCTGGAGCTACAGGTCCAGCACCAACCCCCTGCCAGTAGAAGTGGGGGGGGGGGCTGGAGCTACAGGTCCAGCACCAACCCCCTGCCAGTAGAAGTGGGGGGGGGGCTGGAGCTACAGGTCCAGCACCAACCCCCTGCCAGTAGAAGTGGGGGGGGACTGGAGCTACAGGTCCAGCACCAACCCCCTGCCAGTAGAGGGGTGGCTGGAGCTACAGGTCCAGCACCAACCCCCTGCCAGTAGAAGTGGGGGGGGGGGGACTGGAGCTACAGGTCCAGCACCAACCCCCTGCCAGTAGAAGTGAGGGGGGGGCTGGAGCTACAGGTCAAGCACCAACCCCCTGCCAGTAGAAGTGGGGGGGGGGGGGCTGGAGCTACAGGTCCAGCACCAACCCCCTGCCAGTAGAAGTGGGGGGGGGGGGCTGGAGCTACAGGTCCAGCACCAACCCCCTGCCAGTAGAAGTGGGGGCTGGAGCTACAGGTCCAGCACCAACCCCCTGCCAGTAGAGGGGTTTCTGGAGCTACAGGTCCAGCACCAACCCCCTGCCAGTAGAAGTGGGGGGGGGGGGGCTGGAGCTACAGGTCCAGCACCAACCCCCTGCCAGTAGAAGTGGGGGGGGGGACTGGAGCTACAGGTCTAGCACCAACCCCCTGCCAGTAGAGGGGTGGCTGGAGCTACAGGTCCAGCACCAACCCCCTGCCAGTAGAGAAGGGGTTGGAGATGCAGGTCCAGCACCAACCCCCTGCCAGTAGAGGGGGGGGCTGGAGCTACAGGTCCAGCACCAACCCCCTGCCAGTAGAGGAAGCTGGAGCTACAGGTTCAGCACCAACCCCCTGCCAGTAGAGGGGGGCTGGAGCTACAGGTCCAGCACCAACCCACTGCCATTAGAAGTGGGCTGGAGCTACAGGTCCAGAATCAACCCCCTGCCAGAAGAGGTGGGCTGGAGCTACAGGTACAGAACCAACCCCTGCCAGTAGAGGTGGGCTGGAACTTCAGGTCCAGCACCATCCCCCTGCCAGTAGAGGGAGGTGGAGCTACAGGTCCAGCACCAACCCACCTTGCCAGTAGAGGTGGGCTGGAGCTACAGGTCCAGCACCAACCCCCTGCCAGTAGAGGAAGCTGGAGCTACAGGTTCAGCACCAACCCCCTGCCAGTAGAGGGGGGCTGGAGCTACAGGTCCAGCACCAACCCACTGCCATTAGAAGTGGGCTGGAACTACAGGTCCAGAATCAACCCCCTGCCAGAAGAGGTGGGCTGGAGCTACAGGTACAGAACCAACCCCTGCCAGTAGAGGGAGGTGGAGCTACAGGTCAAGCACCAACCCCCTGCCAGTAGAGGGGAGCGGGAGCTACAGGTCCAGCTCAACCCCCTGCCAGTAGAGGGAAGCTGGAGCTACAGGTATAGCACCAACCCCCTGCCAGTAGAGGGAAGCTGGAGCTACAGGTCCAGCACCAACCCCCTGCCAGTAGAGGGGTGGCTGGAGCTACAGGTCCAGCACCAACCCCCTGCCAGTAGAGGGAAGCTGGAGCTAAAGGTCCAGCACCAACCCCCTGCCAGTAGAGGTGGGCTGGAGCTACAGGTCTAGCACCAACCCCCTGCCAGTAGAGGGTTTTTGGAGCTACAGGTCCAGCACCAACCCCCATCCAGTAGAGGTGGGCTTGAGCTACAGGTCCAGCACCAACCCCCGTGCCAGTAGAAGTGGGCTGGAGCTACAGGTCCAGCATCAACCCCCTGCCGGTAGAGGGGGGCTGGAGCTACAGGTCCAGCACCAACTCCCTGCCAATAGAGGCGAGCTGGAGCTACAGGTCCAGCACCAACCCCCTGCCAGTAGAGGGGAGCTGGAGCTTAGGGTAGAGAGAAGGGAGAACTACCAAAACCTTCCAGAAGTGACACACAATATGGACAATCATTCATATTTGCAAACCTTCAAGGTTTAAAGCCAAAGTCAAGGAATAAAGTTAAGTTCATAAATGGCCTCCTATTCGAGTCAAACTCAATATTT